TGTTTTTTTTCTGGGACTGCGGAGCAGGGGTAAACTGGAAATGCATCTGGGATTTTCACAAACCCTGACCTTCGCTAAACAGTTTGGTTTCTAGAGTTCCCGCCTTGCTAGCTCAACTCTTTACATCAGAACAAGTGTTTCCTGAGCCCAGGAGAGATTCTAGCAAGTAACTGCAACCAACAGCACACTATGCCGCTTTTCTCCCAGGCGCTCTTGTTGACTTAAGGGCATGCTCGTGAAAAAAATTAAGCTCATGATTATTAGGGAAAGTTGTTGGGTTGGTTGTTTAGGAGTATGGTTCTGCCTCTTTATTTTATATATGCATATATGTATGTATGTATGTTTTAAATCTTGTGCTAGTGTCTCAAACTCTTACATTTTCTGTCTTCTGTTCTGGTATGGTACTTGTGTGTGTTGAACACTAGTATTTTTGTGACATCTGTATCGGCCACTTTTCATGTGATATCGGATCCAGATGTACATCTGCAGATGTAGAAGTAGCAAAAAAAAAAAAAGCAACTTAAAAAACAAAAACCCCAGATCAATTCCTCTACAGGAAATACCTATATGCATACCAATTGGTTTTGATCAAAGATCTGTTTCCCCCAATAATTAAAAAGCATTGCAGAAAATTATTGCAGTCCTTTGAGTCTTACTTCTGTCTCAGCACTTTGTGTGAGTAGTTCCACTGAAATAATAACCAAGTTTAAGTTTATTCATTATTACAATTTACCTGTTGCATACAAAAAAACAGCTGCTAGGTAAATGTAACCTTGATGCAGGCTTTTTGGAGAACTAATATACTGATAAAAATCTGAAGTATGGAAAATTCAAAAGTAGTCTGAAAGAGTCTCTAGTTACAAAGGAATTAAGAATGGAACTAGTTATATGCATGTTAGCTATAAAGTTGAGGCTAATGAACTTGAATGAATCAATACGTGAGTCTGGTGCAATTCAGATTGGACAAGCATTTTGAAATCCTTACTTCTCAGTTTCAGGATGATGGATTTTGCTGTGTTGAGTCTTGTGGAATACCTTCTACTCATAGTCCCAATGAGTTATATGAACTTATTCCTCAAATTAGATGTGAGTAGGGACAGCATGACCTGGCTCCAAAAGTAAAAAAAAAATAAATCTCAACAGAAATATAAGGACAAATGTGCATTGTGCAAATCTAACATTGCCTTAAAAGAAAAACATGAAGAACATGGTAATGATGTACAGCATGACAAGGAAACAAAAAAAGAAGAGCACAGCAGCACTACTTTGTAGAGGCGAAACACAAGCTACGTTTCCTTAAAAGAAACAGTGGCAAATGACTTCCTGAAGTGTGGAGGGGTGGGGAGCAGGAAAAATGTGGGCTGCAGAAACTACCAAGCTCGTTCAGTAATCTACCCTCTACATGGTTGGCATGCAGATACTGTAATAGGATTTTTGATAACATATATAAACCTTTCCTCTTAATGTATAATACCCGATAGTTTACTTGGGTAAATTGTGGAGCACTGGCTACCCACCGTAAGTGAAGGTAGCAGGATCTGGTGCAGACTGGTGCCGAATGCTGGAACAGATGTCCCTGACTCAACGACACAAGATACATTGGCAACTGTTTGAAGATTTAACTTACGTTAGCAAGTGCCTTAATATAAATCCTGTTGATTTCAGCGGACTGCAGACTAAACTTAAGTGAAGGACTAAATTCTAATTCTTAAGTGATCTAGAAAGATTCTGAGAAGAGTCATTTAATAGGAAGTGGGCAGATGAAAAGGTAAGTCCCATTCACATTTTAGCTATAAAACTCTAATCTGCAAAGATGTGTTCCACTCTTTGAGGTACCTGTTTAGAACTGTCCCTACCGAGGATTAAAAAAAGCAAACGCCAGACCAAGCCTCCTATATTGGGCACATCATTCAGAGAGTAAAAGAATAGAAACCAAATGGAAATGTGCCCAAATCTGATGACACATCCTTTTAGGTGCACATTTTATTGCCTGCACACAACAGGTAATAGCATAGGAACTCCTGCAAAGGTGTTCACTTACACCCTCTATCACCAGGCTATCCGAACAAAGTGCATCTTGTAGCAGAGCAAGTACCAGCTGATTAACACAACTGCCGGAGCCCCAGGTGCTACACCACGTACAAGGAAGGCAACGCAGTGCAGACATGCTGGTGGTTAACCAGTAAGAACCGACTCGCGAAAAGACATCAGGAATTTCCCAAGGAGAAAGAGAGAGATGTTCTTTAGCCAAGATTCAACCATCATGACTCATATACCTTTACTCCATGACATGCCTGAGTGAACTCAATGGGACTAACATCACTGAGGACACCTTAAACAAATCTGAAACAAAAGGTTTTCCTTAAACTCAAAGAGAAAAAACAAGAGTATCAATAGAATTAACTGGGCTAATACATGTAGTGCATGAATGGTTGCATAACAGGTTAATTAACATAATATTGGAAATCAGTTAATTATGTATTATCTATACAAAAATATTAAATATAGTATGCTAGTCTGGGAAACATTACTTTCTGTTCAACATCCAAATGACAGCAAGCATTACATTTGGAATTATTTAATCATTTATTTTAATATACTGCTATACAAGGAATGACTCATCCTGAAATAATAGTTTGTTTCAACATAGTCTAAGTAAGGACTCCTATGACTTGGTAAAGCCTTTTAACACATTTGAGACTTAGAAACTTTCCTCGCAAGCCTACATAAATATAATCACAGTGACAATATGTCTTTTCTTGTGTCATGATTTCCAGTTTGTGCGTCTTTACTGAGGGCCAACATCATTTAGCAATGTTTTAGTTGCAACTGAAATGGATGATGTTTGAGTAAAATATGGAACATACATTTTGAAATTAATTTTTAGCAGCTAAAGAACTTTAAAATATATATGTGTTTATAGGTACATGTATATTATATATTTGTGTATAATAATATATACACCCACGCATGTATTATTTTAATGTTTAGCTTTAATAGCAAAAAGTACAGTAGAATTCCACTGATAGCAAGATTTGATTCTAGATTATCCATAGAAAATTGGTGCACTTTTTCCGATAATCAATATAAGCTCAAAACAAAATATGATACCAGATAATTCTCTGCTGTAGTCTAAAATTGATAATCAATTTGAACACCTAAGTAACTGAATGAAACCCACTATAGTAATCAAGTAGATGCCTGATAACGAAATAATTCCATTGGAAAATGTTATTGAGTAAAATTTTGTACCAGTCCCAACTACATGAGTGTACAACATTTAGCGTAAGGGCTCTCAGTCCTGACTGGAGCCCATAGGTACTACTGGAGTACAAATAATAAATAATAGTACATGTACTGTAAACTCTCTAAAATCAGCAATAATACCAAGCATTTTCCATTTTTGAAACACTGTACAAACATAAAACTGTTCCTCACAACACCCCTGTGAGGTAGGTACAAAAGTATTACCCCCTCTTTACTGATGGGGTAATTCATCCCAATACTACAAGGTGCTAGTTGACTTTGCAGGGGGAGTTCACTCCCTCCTTCCCAGAGGCCCCAAAAGTATTTAATTATCAAGCAGAATCAGAGTTTAATTAGTGACTTGCCCACATCCCTAAAATGTGTCGGTGGCAGAGCCTGAAGCTTTTGGCTTTCAAATTTATCACTTGGTCAATTGAGCCATTCTGCCTTCTGAAAAAGTAAAATACTATACCTTGGTGCTGCAACATGCACTAACATACTTTTCGTCTAACAAAACTGCTGATACCTTTAGTATCTGCAAAGGAAAAGTGTTTGCCTGTTAGTGTCCGGCTTGTGTAGCAGTTATCACAGTAAAAGTCTCACATTTTACTGCTTTTGCACGTAAAAGTTACAAGTTCTTTTATTCATTTATATGAAAAGGGACCGATTTCTCATATGATGTAGATTTGACATCAAACCCTAAATTAAGGGACACAGTCATCTTTCTCAGGTTCAAAACAGGACCTCCTTTCAAATGGGGAAAACCTTGCGGTGTGCATTAAAATATGAGTATTATCTTTTCCCCCTTACTTTAAAAACATATGTCTAGGCAAAAGCATTCTGGACTATTTTTAATATAGGATATAGCTAGCCATTGTTTTGATGACATCTAAAAATAAAGCAAGACAGCTGCACCTGGAAGCTGTCCCTCTTGCACCAGTATAAATCTAGAATATTTCCACTGAAGCCCATGGAGTCTCCAGCAGCGTAAAACCAGGCGCAGTGAAATTAGGATCAGGACCTCCGTCTTCCTGGCCGTCTGTGGCTGCTCTATAGCACCAAACTAACAAACTTCGTGCCTTCATCTAAAGGCATGAAACGTGCCAAACGTGTGAATGGCACGTTTGTTAGCAGATCCTGTGAGCTAGGCACATACCTGATTATATCACTGATGACTTCGTCATTCATTATGCTAGCGTTACACACAGATGTAAATAACAGGCAGCTCTTTTGACTTCTGCAGAATTAGAGAAAAAGGAAAAAAAATAAAACACAGTATCTTCCAAATGACAGAGTATATGCAGAGAAGTAAATTAAAGGCAGCACAAATGCAGCTTTAGGAAAACAAAATATATGTCAAGAAAGAAAGGACAAAATTGGTAAGGGAATAGATATTATATTGAGGGCTAGTATATACAAAAGAAAAAAACAAGCAGAAAGTAGTTAATATCAATCATTTGTCATAAATGCTCTCTTTCTAGTAACTCGTGGAAAAAAAATTAAGTGAATAGTTTGAAAGCCTTGCTGTAATTTTCGCGTTGTAAAATAACCCTCCCCACAAAAAATCATAACCTGAAGTTTTTCCGATTATAGAGTTCCTACATGGCTCTATTTTTAAACATCAATAATTCAGCAGCCTCTGACCAATTTTATGTTTGTAACACATTTTATTATTTGATGTCTTCCTATAATAACAAAAATAGCCCATACATATTTAAAAATAGATACTACTTCTGCTTTCATCTTTTGTGGGGGGGGGGGGGGGGAGGAAGGAGAAGGCAGGTAATTTTCCTCTTATGTTTCGAACAGAATCATAACTACCAGTGCTCTTTCGCTTTCCTTCTTTTTTGCACATCGCATTGTCTCTCAGCAAGGCTCAGGGATGAATGTGCAGGGACACAAGCACAAGTGCAAACCTAGGGCTGCGGCTGAGTCACCAGAGGAAACTCGTACCTTCTTTGGGTAGGTCTCATAAAGAAGTGTATCTTCGTAACAAGGCCACGGAAGGATGATTAGTACAGATTTTTCTTTTATTTATCTTTTGTCCATTTTAAATGCAGTGGGGAATTCATCACCGGATTATAACAGCTTGAAGGTTAGTCAAATATACAGCTTTCTTGCAGGAGATATTGCATCACATGCCTAACCTTAAGAATGCAAATACTCTCATTTAAATCACCATGAAAAAATAATTTGCTTAAAGTTAGACGTGCTTTGATCAACAAGGGACAAAAAAAAAGAAAACCACAACAACCCCCAAAACGTGGGTTTTCAGGTACAGAATATGTCATTTGGAATGAATGGATGTGAGTTGTCACTTTTTTTTTCCTTAGTATTTCAGAATTTGAACTACAGCTGATAAATTTGTTTCCAAATCTTATCATGCAGCGTAACATGAATATTAGGCAGATGTTTGAACAACATGAGAAGGAAGCTTTCTTTTTTTTGTAGGCAGCATACGAGAAGCATTGAGAATTGCAGGCCATTTGACACAACAGTACTTCCAAAGGCTGCTTTCCCCCCTCAAAAATGTTTTTTCCTTCTACTCTCTTGTGACAAATGCTCTTAAGGTTTTTTTTTCTTTTTTTAATTGAAAAGAGACTTTAATACTTCTACCCCTTTGCACCATTAATATATACTAGAATACCATTTGAATACAAGGTGTCGACCTTGTTCCGATTTTCAGATGTGATGATTAGAAGTCATTGACACCAATCTACCACAAGCGACCCTAGTCTCATATCTTGCTCTGTTATTAGAATAATCAAGGAACGCAATTCAGAAATAATATTACATCCTGCATTTTATTCAATTCCATATGACAAAAATAGTAACCTAGACTAAGACATCCATTTCAATCAGTAGATGTGTCAAGCCAACAAGATTTAATAATAAAAAATATTGGATCTAGGTAACAATTCCCAGCTGGTTCAGGGAGGCTCCTAGCCCTACATGGTATCGCAGTATAAAAATAGTGTCTCTCTTCACCATGCAGAGAGGAATGACCTAACCCTGAATACAAAATGGGGTCAGTCTTACTGTACCATCATCAACCATCTTATTTACAACACTTTACATCTTTTTTCTTTTTTTTTTTTCCTTTTTCCTTTTTTTCTTTTCCTTTTTTTTCCCTTTAAGTTATACACATCCTTTAGGGAGTAGAGATAACACTACATGGTACCAAATACTAACAAAAAAAAAAAGTCACACCAAAAATGACACAGATAAATAAAAACATTCAATTGCTGAAATACAGCAACATTAAGCCACCTCAGTTTTCTTTTTTTCCAATGCTTGGAAACACCCCTAACCACCCACATAGCGTGGTAAAAAGATGTTACATTGTAGAGGTGTTGCAGATATATAATTTTGTTTCTATATAGACGTATATATCTATATATCTCTATCTCACCACTGTAGAAAACAGAGCTGTATAGTTCATTGTTCATTTCCAACAGAAATAAACAGCTAGTAAGTCTTTGAAACTCTTTTCACTCAATTACACGATGGCAGAAATAGTCCATCCTCTTACAGTAATGGTTTTTGTTGGATAAGAAAGATTGTCCTATTTTTCAGTCTCAACTGAGAAGACCTCACAGTCTGATTCTTTCTTCGGGGGCATAAAACTCCTTGTGCTGTTACCCAGCTACCCACAACGTCCCTCAAACAATCCGGCTGGACGGAAATTCATAGTGTCAGACTCCACCATGCTTGTAATGCACAAAAATGAGGTAGTACACAGAATGTTTACTGTTCAAGTTTTGATTAAGCCCCAGCCTCCTCAGCATCCCCAGCCTAGCTTCTGAGTGGAACCATTCCCTTTATTTACTCGCTGTAATTTAAACAACGCAATCAACATAAAATTATATTAGAGTAATCAGAGTACATTGTGCTTTGGAGTAATCTGAGAAGACAATCAGCAAGAGTTGGGAATAAATACAGGATATTTCTACGTTCCTACTGCTCATGCTGCCCGAGACTTCCTATGTTGTTCGCAGCGTTATTAGGCAGTCAGCATCTTTCTTGTGAGTGTGTGTGAAAGAGAGAGAACAAATTACAGTAAAATTAATCCTACGCAATATTCTCCTTAGTCTATCCTAGGCTTGTATTAATATCGCACTCCTCAGATAAATTTATCAGAATTCTGTTGGGGGTGGTCACGCTTTTAAATAGGCTTTGTAGAAAAATTAAATGAATCCTTTCAGTTTAAGAAACGGCAGGCCCCCTTTTTCCTACGGATCTGACACTTTTCTGTGGCTTTTCTGCTTAGTTAATAGAGATCTCTCATTGCTTGACCTTAAAACAAAACGAGAAACTGTAGCAGGGTTTTCCCCCATATTCTTTAAGTCAAAGTACTATTTATAAAATAGTTTACATCTTTGTTCAGTTGCAAATTATAGACAAACCTCCCTAATACAAAATACTAAAAGTGCAATAGTATAAATTAAGAGTTTGCAACCACATTATACAAACATTACCTTTTTATTGTACAGCTTTGATAACATGAAGTATTTACTCACAACTGTTTATAATGTTGTGAATAATTTATAGTTCTAAGGTTTGTCTGTAACTTGTTTTCCAATCATTGAGCTAAAGTCCACACTACATTTTTTTTTTTCATTTAATAGAACAACTGTCCACATAGCAGCTACAAATACTTAAATAAAAAAAAGTTTGTTACTGACAGGTACTTGCACATGAAAAGCATGCTATCTTTCCCAATAAAACTTCACAATTTTGCCGGTATGGAAATAAACCACTTACTGATAGTAAAACAAAACTTGTTTAAAAAAAAAAAAAAAGAAAAAGAAAAAAAGAAAAATCACATAGCCAGATGTATTTTGCAGTACAAAAGCTTCATTTAAGTTTGGGGCTAGTATATTGTCTGTTACCCGCATAATCTTAACATTATAAATACTACAGACAAGGATACTGTAATAATACACAGCATTGGGGTACTAAATCACTTATTTAAGATTAAGATTCCTAAAAACATAGTCCAAGTTGCTAACTAATTTGAACAAAACCAGCAAATAAGTGTGACAGAATGCCATAATGAAGCCCCCCTTTCTCAGTTGAGAGTAAGTTTTGTAAGAAGCAAAGTGGACGTAGTCTAGCCTCTTTTTGTGTCTAATGAAGTTATCCAATGACGTTTTGTTTCTGTTAAATTAAAAGGTTTCAAAGTTCTCGGTAACAGTCAAACTCACTGTTGAAAGAAGTACCATGCAGATCTTGCAAGACAACTTTTCAGCAGCCACAAAGTTATGTATTTCTGCTATGGGTAAAATTTTAAAGGGAACCTATGCATTTAGGTCGGGAAACTAATGCTTAGCTTTAACAGCTGTACATGAAACAGAACAAATGTTGTGTTGAGTAGTGGTCCAACAGTTAGGCGTAATGAATGCCTTTAATTTATGCCAATCTCTTTATTATCCTCAATAAATCTGGTGAATGGACGACTGGCTCCAGTTTCAGAACTTGCTTTGTCCAAACCAACAATGGGAGGGCTGCTGCCAGTGCGAGCTTTGTCCATGCCACTGGTAATGTTACTTAAAGGCGGGATGGCACCTCCGCCTAAACTTACTGGGAGCTGGGGAATGCCTCCGTTCTGTATGACAGAAATCTCATTGTTCTTCATAGCAAGTCCATTAGTGATAGCTGCAGCATATTGGTTCCAAAAATTGGGGTCAACATTCATGGCCCGAGCTGCCAAATCCTTCTGGAACATTTCGGAGAACTTCAGAGCATCGCCACCTAGCAAAGCCATGGGGTTTTCCACAGAGAGCCGGCGACCACGTCTTGCAGGGGCGTTATTCCACATATGAGTTCCCATGTGAACCTGCAGAGAAAACAGGGACAAGAAACACCTCCAAATTAGCCCATTCTAGGAAGATGGCTCACTTTCTGCTACTTACAGTATTGTTTATTCTTTCAAAAATGTCTTTTAATTCACATTGAAAATAAACCAATTTCAGTTAAGACACTGTTCTAAGGCCCAGTCAACCTATCCAGAAAAGGTCTTTGTTCTAGTTTTTCAATGTGTATCCGTATCTTCTCAGTGAAAACAAATACAGCACTGCAACAATGCCATGGTAGGCATCCTCTCAGGTTAGAAAACTTCATAAGCGACATGGAAGTTCTCACGTTCTGAAGATTACCAAGCACATTACTTGTACTAGAAGACGCACATTTCCTCTGCCCTTCCCCTTTTTACAGCTTGTCTGTAGTCTAAAAATTTAGTCTGATGTCACAGGCATCAATTTTGCTAAATATTTTAAGAAAAGTTTCAGGGCGCTGAAAAATGCATTCCCCTTTCTGTGTCTTGATGGTTATACAGATTGTGGAATAAGAGGCATCAGTCCTGCAGTAATTCACTACGAATCAGTGCGAATCAGCTTTCTAGCGTGCAATGACTGCAAAGCAGAATAGAAAATGGGATTTTGTGAGAGCAGCACCCAATGAGCCAAATGAGTTCTGGGTTTGTAGCGAGCCTATTCTGCACCACTGTTCCACAAGTCCTGCCAGAATATGTCCATCTGCTGGCTGCCTGTGCCAGCACATTCGTCAGGTGAGTTACCATACGTGCGTGCACATACACCTGGAGCCAGTTTTCAAATACACAACATTGTGCACCCATCTTCCAGCTCCTATCTTTAATACAGTGGAAGCATAATAAACAACACCATAACAAGCAAGTGTTTCCTTCAGTCTCCCTTCTCTCCTGGCTTTGGGGTAAACAATGTTAAAACCTGCTAAGCTCAGATACAGTGCTTCGAAAACCCCAGAGTCTTCACAGTTTTATTTGGCCTCTTACCTTAAGATTCCCCTTTGTGGTAAAAGCTCTACCACAGATTGTGCAACCAAATGGTTTTTCACCAGTATGGGTGCGTTCATGTATCTGCAGTGCACTTGCTGAGGAGAAGGTCTTCCCGCACGACTGGCAGTTGTGCTGCTTGGGAGTCCGGCGTGGGGGGGGTGCCAACATGGGGGTGATTCCCGGACTCATCACTGTCTGTGGTGCAGCAGGAACCTGGATTCCAGCTGGAAGCGAGGGAACCTCACCCAAAGAGATCGGCTTGCTGTGACCATTCACTTCCATTTTGATCATGGTAGGCGCTGTACTGGTGACCAGGCTAGGAGTACTTTGGCTGGGACCTAGAGTAAAGTTGGGTTCAAATAACTGAGAAGGCAGCTCTTTCAATTTGTGCGTCAGTAAGTGCTGTTTTAAATTACCCATAGTGGAACACCCACGATTGCAGACTGTACAAACAAATGGACGTTCTTTAGTATGGCTGCGGTAGTGAATTTCCAATGCACTCTTACAAGCAAAAGGCTTGCCACAGATATTACAAACAGTACTTTTAAACTTACCACGTTCTCTGTTCAGGAACAGCAGGCTAAAAGGAGCCTCCTCTTTGATGACCGGTCTTCCCGGGTTGGTGGATGTCAAATCTAATGCGCCTCCATTTTCAGTTGCGGGTGGTGGACTGTCCGGTTTTTCTGTCTTTAATTGTATTTCTTGCGGTTCTTCCTGGTTGCTAAGACCCGGGGATTTTGATCGAAAACTTTCACTATTGCTATTTACAGGAGACAAAGCTTGCATGGAGGAGGAAGATTCTGACATTGCAGGGCTGCCTGCACTCTGGCTTTCAAGATCACCGACAGCCGATGAGGAGTCATTGCTCAAATGGTCACTTTCCCCTGATCCATTCTCTATGGATTTTAAACTGGTCAGCTGCTGACAGTTCATGACGGAATCAATCATTTTCATTTGATTCTCCAAAGCAGCAATACTAGAGATCACAGAA